CACCATCACCACTACCACCATCACCATCACCACCATCATCACCATCACCATCACCTACTTTCAGCACTTTTCCACCTTCCCAAACTGAGACTGTCTCTCCACTAAACGCTAACTCCCCACTCCCTCCCCCAGCTCCTGGCACCCACCATTCTACTTTCTGTCTCTCTGGATTTGACTACTCCAGGGATCTCATCTAAGTGAAATTGTATTTTTTTCACTCAGCACAATGCCCTCAAGGTTTACCCATGTTGTAACGTGTGTCAGAATGTCTTTCCTTCTTTTTTTTTTGGAGACAGATTCTCATTCTGTTGACCAGGCTGGAGTGTAATGGCATGATCTCGGCTCACTGTAACCTCTGCCTCCCGGGTTCAAGCAATTCTTGTGCCTTAGCCTCCCCAGTAGCTGGCACTACAGGTGCACACCACTACATCTGGCTAATTTTTGTGGGTTTTGTTTTATTTGAGACAGGGTCTCACTCTGCTACCCAGGCTGGAGTGCAGTGGTGTGATCTCAGCTGACTGCAACCTCCGGCTCCTGGGTTCAAGTGATTCTCCTGCCTCAGTCTCCCAAGTAGCTGGGATTACAGGTGCCTGCCACCACGCCTGGCTAGTTTTGTATTTTTAGTAGAGATGGGGTTTCTCAATGTTGTTCAGGCTGGTCTCGAACTCCTGTCCTCAAGTGAACCGCCTGCCTCAGCCTCCCAAAGTGCTAGGATTACAAGTGTGAGGCACCGCGGCCGGCCACCTTGCCATTTTTCATAGACTGCATAATTTTCCCATTCCTACTCCTGAGAGGTTGCGGACCCAAAGTCCCAGAGACTCACCAGGCAAAGGCCTGCCCCACCTGCTCAGCCTCTTTCTTTCCCTTCCGATTCTCTCTGGGTCATGCAAATGCAAGCAGGGAGGTCACTGTCCCTGGAGCCCCTGGGGCAGCCTCTCCCAACTCAGAGGGCATCTGCCCACAGAGCCACAGGTGTGGGGTCTCCAGGCACTGCCTGTCCCAAGTTCACGTGGAGCAGGTGAACCCTCTAACAGCAATGGATGCTGGGTCCCAGGCCCCCCCAAACCCCCATACCCTTTTCCTTTTCAGTAGAATTCTACCTGCCTCCATCCCTTCCTGTGTGTAAGGAAGCAGGAGTTCCCACCATGGCACCTGAGGCAGTGGCGTCCTCTGACCCCTCCCAGGGAGCCTGCGCTCTCAGCCTGGGGCCCGCCTTCTCTCCCTTTCCCTTCATCCAGCAAAAGTGGGTTCGCTCTCCTTTTGGAGACAAGCAGCCTCCTTGCCCTTGGTGCCTGATATTCAAGCTATGGTAACACAGCCCCATGCAGGGTGGGCGACTGAAACAGACGTTTGTCATCTGCAGGCCTTGGGGCTGGATGTCCAAGACTGGGGTGTCGGCAGGGTTGGCTTCCTCTCAGGCTATGGGGCAGAGTCTGTTCCTTTCTTGTCCCTTAGGTGCTGGCGTTTGCTGGCAAACTTTGGCACTCCTGGGCTTGTAGGAGCGTCCCCCTTGTCCCCACCTTCATGCTCTCGTGGTGTCCTCCTGTGTGCATGGCTGTGTCCACATGTCCCTTAAGGAGGACCCTGGTCACAATGGATGCAGGGCTCGTTCTACTCCCATGTGACCTCATCTGCACCAACTGCATCTGTAATGACCATAGTTCCAAATCAGGTCACATGCTGAGGTACTGGGGTTAGGACTTCAATGCATGAACTCTGAGGAGGGGACATAATTCAGCCCCCTAACGCACACACAAAATGAAGCCCTTTGGACTCTGGTGAGGGGAGAAAGGTGACCCCAGCACAGCTGCCAGCTGCAAAAAATCTACATTCTCTTGTCAAAGCTGTTTTACGGGTTAAACAAGAGCCCCCAGTGTCTCCTGCGCCTTCGTCAGGGACCATCTGCTGATCCTGCAGCACTGACTGTCACGGCTTCCCCTGCATCCACACAGCGCCTGGGCAAGCTCTCCTCGCCAGGCCTCAGGGCCATCATCTGCAAGCTGGGAGTGATGGCAGCCCCTGCCCCATCTCACTCTGGAGAAACAACAAAATCCACAGCAGAGCTCAGCCTGCACACTGCTCCTGCTGACTGCCATGAATATTCAACCCTGCAAGGGAGCGATTCCGGGAAATCTGACATGTGCTGGGGGCTGAAGGAGGCACCAAGATTTTTTACTTGTGTGTTGCACACATGCCAGTGAGGAGCCCAGCCTCCCTGTGGGTTTGGCCAGTGTGCACTGACCAGGCAGGGGTCTCTAACCCTGGGCCTTTGAATCTGGGCTCTGTGACCATAAGCTCTCTGACCCTGGGTTCTGTGACCCTGGGCTCTCTGACCCTGGGTTCCGTGACCCTGGGCTCTCTGAGTCTGGGATCTCTGAGTCTGGGCTCTCTGACCCTGGGCTCTCTGAGTCTGGGATCTCTGACTCTGGGATCTCTGAGTCTGGGAGCTCTGACTCTGGACTCCCTGACCCTGGGCTCTCTCTGACCCTGGGCTGTCTGACCCTGGGCTCTCTGACTCTGGGATCTCTGACCCTGGGCTCTCTGACCCTGGGCTCTCTGACTCTGGGATCTCTGACCCTGGGCTCTCTGACCCTGGGCTCTCTGACTCTGGGATCTCTGACCCTGGGCTCTCTGAGTCTGGGCTCTCTGACCCTGGGCTCTCTGACCCTGGGCTCTCTGACTCTGGGCTCTCTGACCCTGGGCTCTCTGAGTCTGGGCTCTCTGACCCTGGGCTCTCTGAGCCCTGGGAGGGAATGGGAACACAGAGCCATGGTCCTCATGGCCCCAGGCTCAGCACAGGCTCCTCACCTGGGCCCTGCCTACCCTGCCAGGTGCCAGGAGAGTTCAGTACGCGGCCCACACCAGCTCTTACCTCAGCTGGCCCAGGTGACAGTGCCCATGCCATTGTTGGGGAGCAGGTGTGAGGAGGTGCCTAGTCCAAGGCGGGGCCCGGGCACTGAGTAATCGCCTCTCTGAGCCTCACCTTCTTTTTTGTGTTTTTAAGACTCAGTCTTGCTCTTGTTCCCCAGGCTGGAGTGCGATGGTGCAATCTTGGCTCACTGTAACCCCCACCTCCCAGGTTCAAGCAAGTCTCCTACCTCAGCCTCCCAAGCAGCTGGGATGAGAGGCATGTGCTGTCACAGCGGGCTTTTTGTATTTTTAGCAGAGACGGAGTTTCACCATGTTGGCCAAGCTGGTCTCAAACTCCTGACTTCAGGTGATCTGCCTGCCTCAGCCTCTCAAAGTGCTGGGGTCACAGGTGTGAGCCACTGCGCCAGGCCAAGCCTCACCTTCTTAGGCAAAGACAGTGTGCACAGGACTGAAGAGCAGGCTGCAGGGATAGAGGAAGTGTCTGCGCTGCCTGACCTGACACAATTGCTCTAAAGGGTCCCTGGAGAAGCACACAGCTTCCAGAGGGAGGAGCTTTTTACAGTTCTAGAAGAAAGTAAACCTCTCTCTCTCTCTCCACACACACACACACACACACATCACATCACATATTCAGACACACCCAGGAACATACACACATATACATATATACACACAGGCACACACTAACACAAGAACACATGTGCCCCCATGCACACTCATGCTTTCGGAAATACACAATCCTTCTCTCCATGCATACACACACAATGCACACACATGCACAAACACGCCTTAGCTTGTTTCCATCCATCCAAAAAAAATCGTAACTTTCTAAAACCAGGGGACGGAAATGCACCTTTAGCCCGATTTCTGGGAATACCGCGTTTCTCTTAAAGCAACAGCTGAGGCAGGCTGGTGCCAGCGCAGATTCTGCTGTGCTCAAAACAACACGTTCCGGCAAAGGCGGTAAGTGCTCCTCAGCCGGCATCACCATCTACCAAACGGCAGAGCAGAATAAAATACTTTAATGTTTTCATGCCACAAAGCCCCACGCTGCCCTGCTGTTGCTGCTGGAGACATGTTGGTCTGCCAGGGCTGCCACTGAGAGCCTTCCCCACAGGCTTCTGGCCACACAGATCCACAAATGTCCTGCACTGCAGGCCGCCCTCTCCGAGTTCCCACCGGGTCCTCTTCAGTTCCCCCTGGACCCTGGGATCCTGATTTGGGCTGGCTCTGGAAACAGTGGCCAACCCAGACTCAGGGGCAGGACGAGGGGGCACATGCTCAAGGAGAAGAGTCAGAGTCGAGATGCTGCCATGCCAAGATGTTGCCAGGAGCTCTGGCGGCGGCCACCAGGCCCAGCTAGTGCACACTGGCCTCCAGCTGGGAGCCCCGTCCCGGGGCCTGAACGTGTGAGTGCTCCAGGCCATCCAGGCTCTGCTTCTGCCGCCGCCGCCGCCGGGTCTGGACCCCCTTACCAGGGAGTCCGGGCAGGTCACCCTGCAGCCGCCGCACCATCTCGTGGTCCCTGTGGTCCAGCACTCGGGGCAGGAACAGGGAGGACTTCTGAGTGCGGCGGGTCTTGAAGCCCCTGCGTGGCCGACCCTTGCCGTTCACAGACACGTACCACAGTCTCTCCGCGCTGGGCTGCCGCTGGGGCCCGGGCGTACTGGACACTGTCCGGTACAGCCGTGACGCGTACGTGTTATAGCCCAGCTCGTGGATCCGCTCCACAAACTCACACTCGGCGCTGTAGTGCTCCTGCGGGGACGAGATGTCACGGTCGCTCAGTGGCCTGGGAAGACCGCGCCGCGGCAGGGCCCAGGGTGGCCCGATGCCTCCCTCCCCTCCTCTGACGCTGCTGGGTCCAGGGCCACACCCGGCACACTCGCAGCCTGACACACCTTTGCCTAGGCCTTGCCCTCTGCCCGGCGTGCCCTTCCTCCCCTGTGTGCCTGGTGAGCTTGGCCTTCTGCTCAAAGGTCGCCTTCTAGCAAAGCTGTCCCAAGCAACTTCCAGCTCCTGCTCTCTGGGTTCCACCAGCCTCTGTCTCCCCATCTGAGGGCACTGACCCAGCAAAGGGATGTGTAGGGTTGTCTGTGCAGCAGAGGCCGGGCTGGCCAACCCAGGTGCCCTGGTGGTCTGCTGGCAGTGTGGACGGCAGCAAGGACTGGGCATTTGGACAAAGGAAGATGATAGCACCCAGATCACTTTTAAAGAAATTGCAAAACAGAAGGCAGGGTGCGGTGGTCACGCCTATAATCCCAGCACTTTGGGAGGCCGAGGTGGGTGGATCACGAGGTCAGGAGATCGAGACCAGCCTGGCCATCAGGGTGAAACCCTGTCTCTACTAAAATACAAAAAATTAGCCTGATGTGGTGGTGGGCGCCTGCAGTCTCAGCTACTCAGGAGGCTGAGGCAGGGGAATCGCTTGAACCTGGGAGAGGGATGTTGCAGTGAACTGAGATCGTGCCACTGCACTTCAGCCTGGCAGCAGAGCAAGACTGTCTCACGCCAGGCGCGGTGGCTCAAGCCTGTAATCCCAGCACTTCGGGA